AGAGCCCCCCCGCACACCCCCCATCCCGCCTCACACAGTCCAGCGCACCCACTTCTGGCCCCACGCATCCAAACGTCCCCACACCCCCTGCAGAGCCCCCCCGAAGCCGAGAGGGCCGTCACCCAGCCCAAGCTGTTCAGGAGAGGAGGGTGCGTTAAATTCCGCTCCGCTCCCGGCTGAGGCTACGCTGAGGAGCGTGACACGGCCATCCAGGTGCTGATGCTGGCCGAGCCTGCTGTCGAGCTGGGAGCGGTACAACCGCGTGAGGATGGTTTTGGGCCCAAGCTGCTGGCTTGCCATGGTAACGTGGCTATATTGTTTCTGGCACCACGGCGCGTTTCCAACGTGGTAATGGACTGTGAAATTGAGATCTACTGCGTAGCACGGGGATCTCTCCACCTCGCTCTACAGGGTGGAAGCGCTCTTCAACAGAATCCTGTCCCTACAGAAGGGCACTGCCTTTATCCTGGATTCACGGCTCTTGAAACTGTCTCAAAGCTGCACGTCTTTCTCAATTAACTCACAAATCCGTTTGTTTCCATAGGCTTCATTTCTAAGGAACAGCCAGTCAGATTTGTGGTGTTTACAGCATAAAAACGTCACTATTCTGCTTTTGAAAAAACCCATTTGGCTGTAAGAACACGTGTTTTGTCGTGCATTGGTCTAGGTTAAACGCTGCGTGGCTGGCGAAGTTGCTAGAACTACTTGCCACGCTGATGAAAAGGCCAAGGATGTAGAACATGCGGGGAAGGTGTCGCAGCAAGTGAGCAAGGTGAGCGAGTCTGGCTTCCTGGGAGGGTTGAGGACATTAGTGAATCATGAGGTTACTGCTATAAATAAAGGTTTGGGCTCAGGGCACTAAAGCAATGTTTATGGAACAGTTTAGAAGCACCGGGAGAGATAGCAGAGAAGTTGATAAGGGAAGTATATCATCTTAAATGCTTCAAATTGATGTCTTCACACGTCACTGGTTTGAGACGTTCACTTGGAAAAAAAAAGAGCAGGTAGTTTATTCACAGATGGAAATGTTTTTCTAACAATAGAGTAACCAGTGTGCTGAGCTTTCTTCCCAGGTGTTATATAAACAGAACAGGGAGGAGAATAAGGACAAGTACCTGCTTCCCCCTGAGCTTGTGAATGCAATAAAAACCACAGCGATGTTCAGCAAGGTAAGAAAAAACCCCACAGGTCTCAGCAGCTGAAGTGCAAAAAGCATTCCAAGTCAGAGATTAATTCATAATGAGTATTCTGGCATTTTCCTGTTTTTAAGAAACTGTACCAAAGAGGGGGAAGGAGGCAAAACATTCTCTCCATACAATGACGGTCCGGAGCTCAGGAGGGCGGCACAAGCTCAGAAGGCTCTGAGTGATGTAAGTATCGAAGCCCGACCGACAGCTGGGTCGCTGTTACAGCGTGACTTGATAGACTTTGTGGTGGACTTTGGCTAGATCGAAAAACTTCATGATGGAACCAAAAACGCAAACGCTTAGGTGCGCACCGGTAGCGCCCGTAGCAGCGCTAGTTCAGTAGGGAAGCGGGCACTCTGTATAAATGTAATATAATCTTTGGCAAGTTGGTGCCGGATTATGAACGAATGAAATAATTAATTCATTCCGAGGTAATCAGTAAGAGGAGTGAAACTCTCAAAACGTGTGGAGAAACTCTCAGGGTTGGCTGTAAGCTCAGTTGTGTTGTGGGGCCGCAAATCTGCCTCTAAAACAGCGGTAAGAAACGTCAGGAGTTCATGAGGCTGTGTGATCTGCCGATTCTTAGATACGCAGCACTCTTCCACCGAGGGTTTCCAGGCTCACTGAAAGACTTCGGTGAATTTTGCACATGTCCCGACGTTCATGAGTCCCTGTTTATCAGCAGAACCAGTGTGATATGCTTGAAAACCTCCCCGGGGAACTGCTTCTTTTGCACGGTCTCCCACCAAGAGTCCTCCAAAATGCAGTGTTTGCAGGTGTTTTTGCTGCAGTAGCTGTGGACGGAACGACTTCTGTTCCTGGCGGCACCGGCAGAGCTAAGAGTGCATGTTCTGATGCTGAAGTTGGTAGTTACTGTAAACGTTGACTTCTTTTGTATTTTCAGATTGTCTATAAAAAAGGGGCATGATGAATGAAAATCTAAATATACTTCTCTGCCAGATCCACCTGAGGTGGAACAGGCCAAGAAAGTGACAAGGCAGCCGAGCAACGTGAGTAGAATGTCGTGCTCTTCTTTCTCTAGAAACCTCAGGGTTTTCTTACAGCAGCTTTCAGCAGCAATAACAACAAATTCTGGCTTAGCCGATGGGCAATACAATGTCCCAGTATTCTGTGACCAGTGAGAAAACAGAACTCAAGGAATATGTTAGTGCTGTCTCAGAGACAGATTTTCTTATTAATAACAATATTCTAGAAGAGTTGACTTATTTCACCTATTTATCCTCTTTTTGGTCAATGAAAGGACAAAGAGAAATCACCGAATGCTGAAGTGGTTAGGCCAAATCCGGTGGTTTTGACAAGAACTGGTAAAGGCAGATATGAAAGGTGAAGCAACCTTAAAAAGAAGACTTTTAAAATCAAATCTGTTGAGTGAAAACTGAGCTGCATCTTGGGGATTAATTTTTTTTTTTTTTTTTTGGTTTTGCTATAGATTATTTACCATGAGGACTATAAAAACAAGATCAAAGTGAAGTGGAGTCAAACTCCATGCTACAATGCTGCCATTGCAAAAATGAATGCAGAAACTGTAAGTATGGTAAGTGAATTCTTCAGAATAATCTTGAGACGAACAGCTTTATCCTCTGCATGTTTATGTGGAAAATATGGATTGATTTTGCCAACTCCAGCTGTGGCATTTCTCTCTTTCTAAATAGGCTACTCGCTGGAGGTCTGGTTTACAACGTGAGTGCATTTCATGTGTTGTTATCTGTTTGTCTCTGTTCCTGACAGAGGAGGTACCGGAAGACTTTGAAAACACGAAAGACCGGATCTACTTCATGCAGACCGAAGCTCCAGAATATGAGGCTAATAAGCGAGTTTCAGATAACGGCAGTGAGGTAGGTTATGTGTTCTCCCATTTGTTTAGCTTGACCACAGGTCTGAAGCCAGGCCAGTTTGTCCTGAAATTGTTTGGTCAAATGTCAAAAATGTTTTCTTATATGCAAAAGAGGGATTCTTGTGCGCGAGGGAGCTTACGACGACTCCTAGCCACGCTTACGATCTTCCACAATAGTACCTGTGACGTGGAATTCACTTCATCATTTGTTCTGGTTATGTGATGTGCCTGATTATTAGTTGGAACAAATCAATACTGTTAACCAAGACCAACTTAAGCTAGCTGAATTTGGCTCAGTGTTTTCACATTGATTCATCCTTGCTCCGCATGTCTCAGTGATGTTGTGCTGGCCCCACTTTGGTTCGAAACACGGAGTTCGTTTGGCTTCTGCCTTTTCTGCAACAATATATGCATCAGCAAAGACAATCTTGACATTAATTGTGAGAGTGTGACTATTCTGAAACGTCACCGAATATTTGAAAAATCACAGTGTTTGGAGAGGGGCTTAGAGCAGGGGACATCTACCACAGAGCTCTCGGTTATCTTGTGCCCTGCTTCCCACCTCCTTGCCCATGCACTTCTGCGGTCTGAGTGCCTGTCGTGGTCCTTTGCCATCATGGATTGTAAGTTAAAAGGAAATTTTTCCTGAAAAGTTCAAGATGATACAGGTTAGTGAGCGTTTGGCTTTTAATACTGACTTGTAAAACGTCACCCTTTTTATTTTTACTCTTTTTTTAAAGATAAAACACAGCAGACTATGAAAAGAACAATGCTGTGGCGGACTATGAGGAGCGACTGAGGGAACTGGGCTTGTTTAGCCTTGAGAAGAGGAGGCTGAGAGGAGACCTGATCACTGCCTACAACTACCTGAAAGGACGTTGTGCAGAAGTGGGTGTTGGTCTCTTCTCCCTAACGACAGATGATCGGACGAGGGGGAATGGACTCAAGCTGCGCCAGGTGAGGTTTAGATTGGACGTAAGGAAGAAGTTCTTCACCGAAAGGGTTATCACACACTGGAACAGGCTGCCCAGGGAGGTGGTGGAGTCACCATCCCTGGATGTGTTTAAGAGACGGGTGGATGAGGTGCTGAAAGATATGGTTTAGTGGTAGACAGATATGGTTGGACTGGATGATCTCTAAGGTCTTTTCCAACCTAGTGATTCTATGATTCTATGATTCTATGACTATATGTGCTTCCTGCTACAGAGAACCCATTGCTGAGGCAATTAAAAGCTGCAGGCAGTGTGCCGAGTGATGTACATATTCCCAAATACAGCTGGATGATTTTCAGCCATGTACAATAAACCTAACCCAGCATTCCCTCACAAGGCTTCTCCTTTGGATCTCTTGGTATGTTTAGTTTTACAGACCAATATTTGTCACGAGATACCCCTGACCAGAACGGCGTAGATGAGGAATCACTTCTCTGCAGCAGAGTGTAACGATGGCATTGTATGGGGATAGCTAATTATAGTTCATTTACATCCCTGAGGAAAATGGATCACAAGATGACAGTTCTTCCCTTACTGTTTTAAGGAACTTCAGCTGATGCCAGTAATGATAAAATATGTGGTAATTTACATATTTGTATTTCTTGTATGCTGGTTACTCATTGTAACGGCGTTCTCCGTTTCTCTCCTCTTGCTGTTTTCTTCTTCATGGAAAAAGACTGAGTATTTCTCAGTGTCATAAGCTCAGAACCTGTCAGTCAGACCTTCCTGTCTTCCCATTCAAAAATTATGGGGAAAAAGTGCCACCTGTTTTTCAGTCTTCTGCGAAAGCTTTTCTTTGCAATCATTTCACAATTTGGTCTTGTAGTTTTTAATGTGTTGAGAGGAGTTGCAGTGATTGCTGCTGCATTAGCTGACGTTATTTTCTTTTGCAGAAGTTATACACAGAAGCCTGTGACCAATCAAAAGGAAACAGCATGGATTACTGTGCCACACGGAAGTTCCAGACTGATACCCTTCTGAAGAGTTTTAGTGATGTATGTATGTCTTTTATATTATGTCCTTCATTACTGACACTCATGATTACTTTTGTTTATGAACTTGCTATTATTTTTCCAGGTAAAATATAAAGATGCATCTCAAAAGAATATTTTAGGGCACTATTTGGGCAGCTTTGAGGACCCACATCGTAGACACTGCATGAAGAGTGATGTAAGTATGGCGATCATTCTGGTTTCAGCAAGCTCAGTGTAGTTTCTTACTGAATGTTGATTTTATTCCTAGAAAGATTACAAAGCAGATTATGAGGAGGAAAAGACAAAATGCTACTTCCCTCAGACCACAACTCATGAGTATGAAGCTATTAAGAAGTTAGAGCAGTGTAAAGATGTAAGTACGGGACAGTAGTGGTCATCAAGTAGCCACCTACGTGCGGAGTATCGGCTTCTGAGGCACGTGAAAGTTTACAGAGTGATTCCTGTCAGCTTCGATGATTTTGAAGTTGGCCTTATCACCATACGTGATTTTCAAAACTATATTCATCTGTATTTTAGAGCCTTTTTGTGCCATCTAGTGACCAAGACAGATATAGCACAATCTTTATTCTAACAAGTAAAAACTTTATTCTAACAAGTGTTAGAGGAATAGTACCAAAATGAAGAATGAACTTCAAGCAGTTACCTGCTTAAGTCAACGTATTTTTACATCAATACTTTAAAAGTACTTTAGTTAATTTATTAATATTAATTTTATTTACTTTAGCATTACTTGGGAAATTTTATAAATATCATAGAATGATAGAATGGTTGAAGGGACCTTAAAGATTGTCTAGTTCCAACCCCCCTGCCATGGGCAGGGACACCTTCCACTAGACCAGGTTGCTCCAAGCCTCATCCAGCCTGGCCTTGGACACTTCCAGGGATGGGGCATCCACAGCTTCTCTGGGCAACCTGTTCCAGTGCCTCACCACCCTCTCCAGGAAGAATTCCTTCCTGATATCCAATCTAAACCTCCCCACTTTCAATTTAAACCCATTACCCCTTGTCCTGTCACTCCATGCCCTTGTAAAAAGTCCCCCCCAGCTTCCTTGTAGCCCCTTCAGCTACTGGAAGGTGCAATAAGGTCTCCTCGGAGCCTCCTCTTCTCCAGGCTGAACAAGCCCAATTCTCGCAGCTATTTGTATATAATATACTAAAATGTATATAGAATCATAGAACATACTATAATGCATATAATATATTATCGTGTATCCTATAAGGATATTTATATACCTATTCAAAATATTTTACATTAATACTTTAAAAATACTTCAAAAATTTATTTGCTCTCTGATTATGTTTAAATGTAACATGAGAACGACAGCCCATGGCAACGCTTACCTGCGTGCATGCCACAACCGCTCGCTATCCCAAGTAACGCCACGTTGCTATGTCACATAAAATAGTTCTGCTTATCTGCGTGTTCTGCAAGTATGTTTGTTATCTTCCTTCAGCACACCTACAAAAAGCATCCCGATCAAACCACGTTTGCTCAAGTGACCGATTCTCCGGTACAGAAGCAAGCAGAGATCAATAGCAAACAGCTGAGTGACATAAGGAAGCTTCGAAAACGTGTTGCTATGCTTTGACATTATCGGTTTCTGCACTGTGGCCACTTTCACTTTATCATCCAGTTTTAAGGGAACTGAAATCGGCGTGGAGGTGAGTGTGTGTGCATATATACATGTGCACAGGCAGAAAAGTGCTGGTGTGTATTCCAGTTCTGTTCCAGTGGAAGATCACCTGGCGATCAGGGGTTTTTTTCATTTTTCAAGTGGCTGCTCACATCAAGTTTTAGTATGTTGTAATTTTGTTTATGTCCATCATTCTCGTTATATTCTTCGAACTATTTAAGTCAGTGGGATTTAAATCACTCACTTGGCAAGGACTAGGATTTCACCTCTGTCTTTGTGAGTGAGGTGACATGAGATCTTCAAGTTGCGTCCCACCGCATTACTAAGCATTTACAATCTATGAACATTGGGCTGCTGAATTTTTTTATTGTTCTTTGCAGATAAAGCATAAAGCCAAAGGTGAAGAAATTCTTCACAAGTGTCACCTCCTTCCAGATGTGCCCCAGTTCATACAGGCTAAAGTTAATGCCTACAGTTGTGGTGATGTAAGTATATTTTGAATCCAGAGCTCTTGGTGCCACTTACAGTATGAAGTTCCTGTTAGCTAGAAACCAATCATTCAAAATTCACCTTATCTTCTAGAACTACTACAAAACAGGATTAGAAGAATTAAAATCAAGGGGATATGATCTAAAAAGTGATGCTATTCCTCTCCGAGCTGCCAAGGCTGTTAGGCAGGCTGTCAGTGATGTAAGTACATCTTTCCTAAAGGAACTGTTTAAGTCAAAAGAATTTACTTAAACAAGGTTTGCCATTATGTTTGTTAAGTATATCTGAAGGATAACTTGTTTATTGCCCTTCTTTGAGCATGTTATTGGATGTATTTAACACATGTTTTTATTGGTGTTTCATTCTCTAATGTATTTGTAAAATTGCATTTAGAGAAGGCTGCTTCATTATGTAATTCTCTGGGAATAAACTGGCTGTCTTGCAGTCCAGTCTGGTTAAGGAAAATCATGAAGAACAGGTCAGTAGTGACAGCTCCATGAGCAATGGACCCCTGAATTCTCTCTGTCCTCAATTATAGGCCTGATCATAAATGAGATTAAAGACTCTAGGATATCAGTGGGGCTTGAGGAGATTCTTGGGGATGGCCTTGCAGAAGCACCTATTTTCAGACTCTTTTCCCTCTTCAGGGCAAGTGAGAGGGTGTTACTTTGGGAGCTAACTGATTTGTGTAGAGAGATACACGTCTGATTTCATTAAAATGTATGGTCACTGACCTTAGTGTGAGGGATACTGTGTGTAGAAAACAAGGGGTAGCCTTTGCTTTTAATTCACTTATTGCTGAGTTACTACACTCAAGATGATATTCTCCGTGTTCTTCCATATTCTAACAGGTTAACTATAAAAAAGGCTATGAACTTTCCAAGGGCAAACTCGTTGGCTTCAAGAACCTCTAAGATGATCCCAAACTTGTTCATTATATGAAGGTAGCCAAGCTGCAGTCTGAGCGAGAGTACAAAAAAGATTATGAGGAAACAAAAACTGTGTGCAACATTCCAATGGACATGGTCAATGTTGTCGGTGCCAAGAAGGCTCAAGAGATTGCCAGCAATGCCAATTACAAGAACGTCCTGCACCACCGTACTTATTTACCAGATGCAATGAATGTGGAGATGACCAAAAATATGATGGAGATTCAGAATGATGTAAATAAAGCCTCATGTGAACAGAATTTTTTTGAGATGCCTCCAGCAAAATCTGCAAAGCCTCAGGAAAGATCCCTGAATAGGTTTTTTTTTTTGTTTGTTTGTTTTTGTTAGGTTGTTTTTTTTTTTTTTAAATTCCTAACTTTTAAAACATTGCTTTCACTGGAAACAATATATAAATTATATGAAAAAGGGGTTTGCTTAAGCAAGGGCAAAATGCCACTGGTAGAGTCTTTCCTCATAGAAGTTGCAAAAATGCTTATGGAGTTAATAATTTAGCTACATGAACTAAACTGATTGTCTTGAAGGACTCTTATCTTTGTAGCGGGTTTATTTATCACACTATGACTGTAATTTGTGCACAGGTTAACAGCTCATCTTGAAATTGCACAGACTATGCTAAATATTTTGATTCCTATAACTATAGTAGGAATACGGACTCCAACAACTGAATTAAAATTACTACTCTTAACGCTGTGAACTCATACCTTTTTTCCCACTGGCAACAGTAAAGCTCGGTGTGCTGTCTGACACAAGCTATGAAAGGAGATTTGAGACACAGAAATGCAGTCACTAACTTCAGCAAAAGGCTGCAAATGACTTCCATTCCCCGCTTAAACGTGCCCCTCCCCAGTAGCTGAATGCTGAGATATCCAGCTGTTCGGTAGTCTTGGGCCACTCAATAATACACTATTATGCTGGTCTTTCAATTAAAACCTGAACGTTCCTGGGAATTAGAAGTCTATGGCAGTAAAATATAACATGGCAGAAGCAATGGCAAGGGAGGGCGTGTAACTGCAAATCTAGATTTAGATCTATACCGGGAGTCCAGACAAGCTGAAATCCAACAATCTTCTTATTTTGAGGTAAATAATCCCATGCTCTCTGAAAAACAATTTATTTGAGTTTATAGAATGAGGTTGTTAAAATATTGAGTTTCAAAGTATTGTTATTATTGTTATTAAAATGATCAAAAAGTATGCATTCTCTTTCCAACGTGGGTAAGGCTTTCTTTTCCTTTGTCTCTAGTACAAGGAATCATATGAGAAAGGCAAACAGGTTGGATATCGTAGCCTGCAGGATGATCCTAAACTGGTTCATTACATGAATGTGGCCAAAAAGCAATCAGATCATGAATACAAGAAGGATTATGAAGTCACCAAGACCAAATATCATACTCCTGTGGATGTGTTCAGGCTACCAAGAAAGCCCAGGAATCGGTTACGAACGCTGGCTATGGACAGCAAATTCATGATTACACACTCTTGCCTGATTCCATGAATCTGGAGCTATCAAGAAATGTGATGCAGCTTCAGACTGATGTACGTAATGATTAATCAGCCTTTTTTTTTCCTTCTCATAATGACTGTGTTACACTATTAACCTTTTAAGGCTAAAAAATGAATATACTGAATTAACAATAGATTGAGATGTCAGTGTCTCATCTGGAACCTTCTATTTTCCACTGATTATCAGAACTATGTGTAGCTGATACATTCTAGGGAACTTTCCTAACAAATAACAACATTCATCGTATCTCTACATATTTGGCTAATTCTCAGCATATTAACATGTTTTTCTAATTCGTGTATTTTGTAGTTGAATTTGTAATTGTAATTACAATGTGTTGTTACTGTGACTATCACCTGTATTGTCAGAGACCATAGGTTATCTACAGAGTCTAAATGCTGACTCTATTTAAGTTTACCAAAAATATACGTTATATATATTTGTGTTATACCTAAGTATTTGAGATTCATTCATTTCATTCATTTTTCCTTCCTGCCTTTATCCTCCAACAGATGCATATGCTGGGCATGATAAGGATGGATGGAAAAGCGTTGTAGCTTCCATTAAGTTTTGTGACTTGGTTCCCTTTTTGTTCACTAGTGTAACTTGAGACTCTACTTGTTTATCCAGGAAGTATGTAGTTTAATCTTCATTCTCTGACAAATGTGAAATTCCCCCCAATGTTAATAATCTGCTTGAAAGTGTTCTTCAGATTCTACGTGTAGTTTGGAGGGGATAATGTGCATGTTCCCAGTGGCCAACAGACAAAGGAGGTGACCTTTAGACACATTCTTTTCAGAATGTGTCTGAAATACAGAACTTTTTTATCTCAAGTGTTTTGCTTCCCCATTGTGTTTTCCCCTGTCCTGGCTGAGTTGGCTGAGCTTGCTTGGCTGTGGGATGTTTGCAAGGGCAGAAGCGTGATGCTTGAGGACAAATTTTGCCCTGTGCATACATGCTGTTAAAGTCTCTTTCTCAGGCTCTGATATGCTCCCTGTTCCTTCTAACACTGCAGTTCAGGAAGAGGTTTTATTTTCACAGCATTTGTGTAGCTTTATCTGCCCTAAAAGCCATGTTATAAAGTGTGATTAAATGGGAAGGGCGTCTATTCAAGCTTGTGCAGAACCAGGCCATTAAGCAGAAGTTGTTGAAACTATTTCTATGAATTAATTCTACGGCAAACTGAGTCTATTAACGAACAAGAGTGTCATTTTAAAAAAAAATTATATTTTTGTCAGATTTTCATGCTTACCACTCCAAGTGTGTTCTAAGGTCTGTACATTTGGTTTGTAGTGTGAGTTCTACACATTCGTGTAGTGAAAAGAATTTCTTTATCCCTAACACATAAATAGTTGTTAATGTTACATTAAGAATTTGGAAAACAATAGCAGTTACAACAGGCTTGTCTGAATTTTCCTTCAAAAGTGAATGCCCAGGAGCAGGTTTAAGGCCTTACCTGTTTTCATGTGTATGGGCATTCTAGTTTTCCTTGTCTAACTGTGCTTTTCCTTGTTTGTTTTTTAAAAGAATGTGTGCAAAGCAGACTTTAATAACTGGTTGAGAGGAGTTGGCTGGATACCGACTCAGTCACCGGATGTAGTAAAGGCCAAAAAAACTGCGGAGATTCTCAGTGAACAAAAGTACCACCAGCACCCTGACAGGCTGATGTATTCTATCTCAGTGGATGCAATGGAACAAGTGCTAGCCAAGCAAAACGCCAAGACCATGAATAAGGTGAGAATTTGTTCAGAGGATCATGACTGAGCCACAGATGGGGTCTTTGCTGTGCAAAACTGTGGGACAGGTTCATTCCTACTCAAGTGATTAGAAATTCAAATGGGTATAGTGGTTTGCTTAGCTACAACGGGACGCTAAGAGATGATGGAAGCCTTGGACTGTATACATGATTAAGGGAGCGCTTTTCCCTGCTCTTTTTCTGCAGGAAGTAGTATTCATAATCAGTGACCTGAAATTCTGTCGGTTTTGTACAAAAAGTTGAGTTCTTTAAATTTGTCCCTAGTTATCTGGGACACCATTGATGCTTATTTCATGTTTGCCAAGGAAAGAAGGTATGTGGGAAAAAAAAAGTACTGTTTTTCATGAAAGCAGGGAAATTGAAACATTTAAGTTTCAATATTTACTAGTTAGCCAAACATACTTTGCAAATTTCTCAAATAAAATCGTGCAGAAAGAGGAGGAGTACAACATTGCTCAGCAGTTGTATTTGTGAAGATTGTTTGCAGTGCTTAGGGGACTTTACTGTAAAATATTATTTATTGCAAATGAGCAAAGGAAAAGCAGGCTCTTTTTCTGTGAGTGCAATGCTTTTTCAATGCTGAACATTATGCTGTAATTGCAGAGACTCCACACCAATAAATGGACCAAAGAGAGCGTTCATGTCATGCCAGAAACTCTGCCGTCGAGCGTGACCCAGCTCACCATGAGCAATGGGAGTTGCCATGCTCCCAGGGGGCATTCAGTGGCTGATGCATAGATCAGAAAGTGGTGTCATGTCTTTTTTGACAATGTTTAAATTCAGATGTAGGGTACTTGAGTACTTCTGCCTTCATAATAGGGTACCTGTTCTCTTCTACATTTTATATTAGAAGCTTTACAAAGCTGGATGGGAGGAAGACAAGAAGAAAGGTTATGACATGCAGCCAGGTGCTATTCCAATAAAAGCAGCCAAAGCCTCCAGAGACATCGCAAGCGAGGTAAGCTCAATCGCGTGAGAGTACTCACAGTAGACACCAAGAGAGTCAGAACATTTTCAAAGCGCACTTATGTGCAAATGTAGGTTTTTTCGAGCATCTTGAGTTGTCTAGGTTTCAGTTATGTGCTTGATGGGATAAACCTTTGTGGTACTTGCTCTCCAGTGGAATAACAGTGAATTGTGTTTTTTTGCTCCTTGTTCAGCGAGCTGCAGAGCTTTGTGTGCCTGTGTTCAGGTGGTTTTGTACAACTGCGTACGTTTAAATGACTAAACCCGAGATCTGGTGATGAAAAAGAACAAATATTTTCTATGTTTTCAGAGATAAAAATGAGCTTAATGGTGCTTTTTTTTTTTTTTGATTGAAGTCTTTGCTGTTCTTTCTCTTTCCTGCTGGCAGTATAAATACAAACTAGCCTACGAAAAAGAGAAGGGAAAGCATATTGGGTTCCGCAGCCTCAAGGACAACCCCAAGCTGGTGCACTTCATGCAGGTGGCTCAGATGCAAACTGATCATGAATATAAAAAAGATTATGACAAGGCAAAAACTCATTTCCATACTCCAGTTGACATAGTCAGTGTTGTAGCAGCCAAGAAAGCACAGGAATTGGCTACAAAAGCAAACTACAAAACCTTGATCCATACCTACAATGTTTTTCCTGATGCTATGAGTCTTGAATTAGCCAAAAACATGATGCAGATACAAAGGGATGTGAGAGACTCTTCAATCTTTGCATCGTGAATACAACCAAGCTTCATTTATGAAAGCATACTGTAAGATAAATACTACTATTTTCTTAGTGGATTTAGTTCCTTTATATAATAAAATGTAGTAAAGGAAAGGAGACCTTTAGCAATGCTAGCCATTGTATTTTTCTAAGACTCTGAAATATTAAATTATTTTATTGCTAAAGAATTTGGGCTCAGAAATAAGTAGTTTTATATATAAAGTAAAATGGGTATTTACTGCTTACATGTCCCAGGAGGCTCTTCAGGAGCAATAGTTGTGAGCAGGCCAAGACAGGAACAGCTTCACTTTCCATTAATAGTTTTATCTTGTACTTCCACAAAGAAACCTTCTCAGAAAAAGGGGAAAACAACTAAGTAGATGTATTCTCAGATTTTCTGGGATGTTTAACCTCTAAAGAAGAGGGCCCTTTTTATTCGGTATAGTGGTTGGAGATAGTCCTGTTCTTCAAGAGGGCCTTAACATGTAATGATGTCACACAAGCAGTCTGTATACATCATAGGGAGGATCTGAACATTGCATAAAAGTCAGAGTAATAAAATACAGACACCACTGTAACAAATGTGTGTCTAAATAAACCTTGACCGCACCTTGATACAGTTTGCTTCTCTGTAGAAGTGCATTCAAAATCCAGTATTCGTTAAACATAGACTGAAGTGTCATGATTCACAGACTTCTCCATGCATCTGATTGCTTTCTTTTCTTTCTTCCTCCAGAATCAATATAGAGCAGAATATGGTGAAAGTATGAAGGGCGTTGGATGGATGCCACTGGGCTCCCTGGAAGCTGAGAAGAACAAAAAAGCTTCTCTGTAGAAGTGCATTCAAAATCCAGTATTCGTTAAACATAGACTGAAGTGTCATGATTCACAGACTTCTCCATGCATCTGATTGCTTTCTTTTCTTTCTTCCTCCAGAATCAATATAGAGCAGAATATGGTGAAAGTATGAAGGGCGTTGGATGGATGCCACTGGGCTCCCTGGAAGCTGAGAAGAACAAAAAAGCGATGGAAATTGTTAGTGAAAAGAAGTATCGCCAGCATCCAGACAAGTTGAAGTATTCTGTGCTTATGGATTCCATGAACATGGTCTTAGCTTTAAATAATGCTAAAATCATGGATGAGGTAAGAAAACGTTCATCAAAATTCATTTAAGTTTGCAGAAGTAAGGAACCTACTATACCTGAGGTAATAATCTTATTCTGTGCATAGCTCTGGAAAGTGTCAATTTTGGCAGCTCATGAATATGCTTGACTGTAGCTGTGTTTCATCTTGATAGAGCTTTGATGTACCTGAAAGCAAAGCATGACCCTAACATATCTAAGAAATATGTTGTTGAAATCTAGGGGCTTGTCCCGGTTTAGGCCCAGGTGGCAGCTGAGCACCACACAGCCGCTCACTCACCCCCCGCCCTCCTTCCAAAGTGGGATTAGGAAAAAAGCCTCATGTGTCGAAATAAAAACAGTTTAATAGGACAGCACAGGGAGAGGAAATAATAATGATAAAGGAATATTCAAAACCAAGTGATGCACAGCGCTAGAATTGCTTATGACTGGGTGATCAATAACCTGCCCCAGAGCAGTGACCCCCCTGGCCAACTTCCCTCTACTTATATACTGAGCGTGATGGCTTATGGCATGAAATGTCCCTTTGGTTGGTTTGGTCAGTTGTCCTGGCTGTGTCTCTTGTAGAGAAGAAGCTGGGAACATAGCGGCAGTATCAGAAACTGAAAAAGTCCTTGGGTTAATATCAGCATTACCTGGCAACAACTGAAATATCAGTGTTATCAACATTCTTTGCAGCACAAGTCCAAGACACAGCCCCACACCAGCTACTGTGAAGAAAATTTATTCTATCCCAGCTGAAACCAGCAAGGGGCTAAAAATACTGGAGTGATTCCTTTCGGAAATAGGATTTAAACTGTTAAATGTGTGGTCTGTTTCATGTGGTGCCTGTTACGTTGTTATGAAATTGCTACGTGACATGAATGCTTTTCTACTGAGATATTTATTTTCTGATTCTCCTGCTGCACTGATGTAATCAGCTGTTCTTTCAAAATGTCTAGATTTCATGTGCATTGTAGTTACAGGCACATTCAGAAACTTATGTGCGCTTTCCTTAGCTCTGTTTCCTCCAAGAAAATTGTTAATAAACAAATGAATTAGAATTAAAGTTTCTTTTCTCTTTACAGTACAAATACAAATGAGGTTATGAACAAGACAAGGGAAAACCTGTAGGCTCCTTCAGGATGATCCCAAACTTGTCCATCATACGAAGTGGCTAATATCCAGTCTGATCATAAATACAAGAAAGCTTATGGGGCGAGCAAGACACATCACCAAACACCTTCGGATACACTCAGCATTGTGGCAGCTAAGGAGGCACAAGATCGTGTAACCAATACGAACTACAAACAACTGATTCACCAGTCTATGCTTCTGCCAGATGCAATGAGTTTAGAACTGTACAGAAACACGAACAGATACAAAGTGATGTAAGTTGCTGTATTCTTTCTGTCATTCACAGCTCTGACTCTTT